TCCATTTGTGAGAACTGTTTAAGTGTACACCATGGTCCAGGGGTCTCTAATCTTGTCAACTTTAAGACTTGTGGACTTCAACTCCCAGAATTCCTCAGCCGGTTTGCTGAGGAATTCTGGGAGTTGAAGTCCACAAGTCTTAAAGTGGCCACCATTGGAGACCCCTGGACCATGGCCACTAAAGAAAGACATCTTTTAAGGAAAGCTGGCCGAGGAAATTCTGGGAATTGAAGTCCACAAGTCTTAAAGTTGACAAGGTTGGAGACCCCTGCCATGGTCGTTAAGTGAACCAATGGTTTGCTCTCGGGCCAGTTTTGTCAAAAATCAAATGATGCACCCAGTTTTCCACAAAACTGTTACAAGACAGTCCTATGGCCATGAGATACTGCAAATAGCCCAGTTATCAAGCATCTGAAGTGCGACTATGTGACCATGGTACGTGTATGTGGGTGCGTGTGGGTGCGACTGTTGGAACTTCAAATCTTGGGTGTAACTAATCCCCGCCCCATGCAGATTGGTTATTAAGTGAAGCACCTGTTCACTAGGGGCCGGTTTTGCCAAAAAATGGAAATAAAACGTCAGTTTTCTGCAAAAGCATCTTAAAACGTTGTGACATGACAGTGGCACACTGGAAACCGCCATAAACACAGGACTGGTGGCGCCCGTCCCACAGTCATGGAGGGCGAAGAGGAATGGCCACTGGGACTTTGGATCTGAGGTGTAGGTAACTCTCAGGTAGGTCTTGGCAGGTAGCCAAGCAATTGGTCGTAAAAAGTCAAGGACTGCTTGGATTGGTAGCATAAAGTCAGATGTTGAATTTTTCTTTAAAAATAATTTTGTTTAAATTTCAACAGGCTTAGTGAGAAGCAGAAAGCAGGAATCAGCTCAGCTCAGCCGCCCAAAATGGAGAGGAAAGGATACGGGCAGTCCTCGGCTTATGGCCACAACAGAGCCCAAAATTTATGTGGCTAAGCGAGACATCTTTTAAGTGAGTTTTGACCTGTTCTACAAACATTCTTGCCACAGTTGTTAAGTGAACCACAGCATTTGTGAAGATGGGCACATGGTTGTTAAGTGAATCCGGTTTCCCCACTGAGTTGGCTTGTCAGAAGCTTCCCACATTACCCTCCCCCCAGGGACGCCACAGCCGTCGTAAATACAAACCAGTTGCCAAGGGTTCGAACATTGATCACAGGGACACTGCAACTGCCGTAAACTGACTCAAGTTTACGGCAGTTGCAGTGTCCCTGTGATCAACATTCAAACCCTTGGCACAGCAATGGTTGCAAGTGTGAAAAACTTTGTTCAGCACTGTTATAACTTCAGTCACTAAATGAACTGTTGTATGTTGAGGACTACCTGTAACTCCCCTCTGTGGCATCCTGGAGTATTTCTTGTTGGTCAAGAGGACACCTTGAGGCCATCAAGGAGCACCTGTAATGAGGGTTCCTTCCTCCCCCCCCCCCCCCCCCCGTAACCTCTCTTCTGGGGCGACACTATCTGCACCCTCACAATAAAGATCATCCTGAACCGTTCATTTAGTGACCGTGTGAGGTTATGGCGGGACACACACAAAGAAACGGGCCTTGTCCTCTCACTTACGACCCCTCCATCACAGGATCAAAATTCAGTCGCTGGGCAACCGGCGTATATTTATAATGGTTCAAGCATCCTTGGGCTCACGGGGTTCCCTTTTGCAACCGTCCCAGCCACCTCCCGACAGGCAAAATTAAGGGCGGGAGGGAGGCGAAACTCGATTTGCTTAACGACTGTGTGATTCACTTAATAACTGCTTAACCTCTGTGGCGCAGGAGAACGTAACCTCGGGCCCAACTTCCTTAACAAGCGCTTTGCTTAGCCACAGAAATTCTATTCTCAATATTCTCTAAGTCGAAGACCACCTGTATCTATATAACCTCCCGATTCTGGGGAAAACGCTAAAAGTTTAGAGGTTTAGTACGCCTTGAAGATTAAAAAATAATGCGCATTTTTTTCTCCACTAGAAGAACTGAGATCCTTATCATCCTATATCTGCACGCTACAGAGAAACTTAGCTGTCTTACAAGTATCCTCCAACATGGGAGATTCCACATAGGATGCTTACTAAGGACAGGTCTTAGAGCAGGCAGGCTGAGAAGTGCACGCAGGTTACCTCTGCTGAGACTGAGAAGCGGTGCTTAAGGCACCTGCCTAGAAACCAGGTGACTGGGAGTTCTGGTCCTGCCTTACCCACACAACCAACTAGTGATGATCTTGGCCCAGTCACTTATCTCAGCCCTCGGAGGCAGACAACAGCCGACCCCTTCTCAAATGCTCTCTCCCCACCAAGAAAACTGTCCAGGTAGTCACACCACTGACTCACAAGGCGCAGCCAAAAAAAAAAAACCCCCCCCCCCCAACGCAAGTAGCATGAAACTAGCCTGAAGATAATGACTAATGGACGCTCAATCAATCTACGGTTTATTTAACTGATAGGTAATGTAAGCAAGTTTTTTAATGGAGGACCCACTGGCTCTTGGGCTTCAGGACGGTGGGATGGCTATGAAGGATTTCTAACCTGGATAACGTTCAAGGCAAGCCACCACTGTCATTTTTGCCAATTTGGAGAGGCGACCAGCAATGGAACCATTACTCACCCCACCTTATAGATGTTGGACACTTTCCCACAGGGTTAACTTTGTCTGTCTTTGTGCAAGACTTACCTGTCACTCATACATCCCCAGTTCCGGCTCTTCGCGCAAATCCACGGAAACAAAGGCAATGATGGTTTGTTAGTGCAACGGTGTCTGTTTTCAGCACGGGGAGACCCATGCACCTTTTCCCATCACTGGCAGGAAAAGGGGTGCATAAAACCCGTGCTGAAAACGTACGGGGTTTCCCCCCGCCCCCCCCAGGTCTGTGTGTGGTTGTGCTGGTTTGCAAGGTGGATTCCGTGTCGGATGGGCCCTGGCTTGGGTTCGAGGCCTTCCCTCCAGCGAAGCCCTCGAAGCGCCAAGCCAGGGCTGTAGGCATGTGCAAAGGAGTACACGTGGTGTGTAAAATAAAACAAATAGCTCACACGATCCGGCTCTCCCGCCAGGAATTAGGGGGTGCTTCCCCAAGCGTCGTTGCTGGACGCCCCCAAATTTTTCAGCCTCAAAGAGTTTAGCCACCTCTGTGCTTTCATTTTTCCGGTCTTAATTCAGCCTATCGCTCATGCGTCAGGCAGCTTGTCAACCATCTCTCGCTGGGAATTTTTTTCTCTTCCACAGGCTTTTCCACTCTTCAGGAGGACGGAGTTGATAATGGGAGCTGTGGGCCAGCTGGGGATGTTAAGGAGCTCCTGGCTGCCCTGAGAAGCTGCATGGAAATGGTTGCAATTACTACGAGGGGCTCAGGGTGAGGAGGTCGGGGGGGGGGGGGGGAGGGGAGGACGCGGCCTTGAAGCCCCACCCGCCCACAAGAGGAGGCTTGGAGGGACGGAGGGTAGGACCTCGCTTCCAAGGCCCTCGAGCTCAACCCTTGAGTCGCCGAAAGTTCTTTTCTTTCCAAAAGGCAACTTGGAAATTTCTGGGGTCCGTTTTTGTTTTCTGTTTTCCTCCTTGAAAATATTTTCTTCGGTTCGTGGATAAGAAGCAAAAAGAAAGAAAGAGAAAAAGAGAGAAAGAGAGAAAGAAAGAAACAAAGAAAGAAACAAAGAAAGAAAGAAAGGAAGGAAGGAAGGAAGGAAGGAAGGAAGGAAGGAAGGAAGGAAAAAGAAAGAATAAAAGAAAGGAAAACAGAAACCGAGAAAGTCCAGTTATCTTTTGGGAAGAAACGCATTTTTGAGAACAACCGTGACCTGGTGGATGGTAATGGAGAAGAAGCTCTGTAGATAATTCCACCCGCTACCCGTCTTACTCTTAGTGGGAGTCACCCAACTGGGTTTTTCCTTGGACAGCTTTTTGTCAGGTTGTTTTAAAAAAAGATGTAAAATAGGCTGCCTAAGAGTACAGGTGGTCCTTGATCAAAAGAGAGCCCCAAAATTTCCACTGCTAAGCGAGACAGCTGAAGAGTGAGTTTTGCCCCCATTTTTGTAACACTTCAAGCCGTGGTTAAGTGAGTCACGCGGCTGTGAAGTGAATCTAGCTCCCCCCACTGACTATGCTAGAAAGAAAGCTGCAAAAGGACCATCTTGGGGCTGGAAGGGACCTTGGAGGTCTTCTAGTCCAACCCCCTGGCCAAAGCAGGAGTCCTTATACCACCAGCCAATTCATTTCCCCCTAGGAGAAACTACGACTGTTGTGGAGGGCTGTGAAGGCATGCACAAACGCACAAACAAATTGACAAAAAATGAAACAAAAAAAGGCCTCATATCGTATTTCCGGAGGGAGGCTGATTAATTCCACTGATTATTATTTTTTTTCTCACTGTTGGGAAATTGCTCTTTAATTCCAGGTTAGATTTCTCTTTAGTGAACTTACATCAAATTCTTGGAAAAGTCAGACAGAAGCAGCTAACTCTTAAACGCCATGACAACGGACAGGAGAGACCTGAGATAACCCACGTGTGGGAAGATAAGATATTCCCACAGGTAGGAATCTGAGAGTATAAGATTTCAGATACATGGCTGGCAATGCAAGGAGATCCTGCATTGGAGATTTTCATTAATCCATATATCCAAAACCAGCCCCTTAAAAACCTTCCTGAATGCTGCCTAGGCGGTCACCCAAAAATGTAAATGTGGTTTAGCTTTAACTTCTGAAGTAGTAACCTTGGATAGAGAATGATTCCAGAGCTGGCCAAGATTGAGCTGAGAGCCAGAGGTATCCTGAAAAGGAAACGAAAAACCTAAAAAATGACCTTAGCAAATATATGTATTTGTCCTTGACTTCACTTAGAAATTAAACTTGGTTAATTCTCAAGCTTCAACGTCACTAAACTGCTTTTAGAAGTTTCTTTCAGATTGCAAACATAAGATTCTGCAGTTCAACAAGCTATACTTTAAACAGCCAGGTTTTCTCCCTAAGGCACTTAATGTCAGAAAGCAACCTGTCCCAAACTCACAATACCTTCAGTTTCAATCCAGACAGGATAATAGATACAGGGAATCACTGAATACAGAAAAACCGATATTGTAGACGTACCCCACGCACCCCCACAAAATAATATACATATATATGCAAAAAAAAAAAAAATGCAACTAGAAATAAGAAAAAGAATGAATTATACCAACACCCCCCTCACCCCGCTTCACTTACTAGCCAGCCCCGCATCTCTCAACCTTTAAGAAGGGTCCAGTGGCAGCACTCAAATGCTTTGAGAACTACTTCTCCGCCTAAATAACTGGGTGGGTGTGACTGGGTGGCCATGTGACTGGGTGTGGCCAGTGGGCGTGGCCAACTTGATTGGTCTCAAGGTTAGGAAATGTCTCTGTTCCGTTATTTAGAACAGACTAGGATAAACTGGGTTGGAAGGGACCTTGGAGGTCTTCTAGTCCAACCCCCTGCTTAGGCAGGAAACCCTGCCCCACTTCAGACGAACGGTTGTCCCATTTCTTCTTTAAAATTTCTACTGTTGGAGCATTGCGGAGATAGGGAGGTAAATGGTTCTACTGATAAATTGTTCTAAATGCCAGGAAATTTGAGGGGCTCCTACAAAAATGAGGGTGTCAATCTATTCTCCAAAGCACCAAAGGGCGCAAAAAGAAACGACGGATGGGAACCGACCAAAGAGAGAAGCAACCTAGGACTATGGAGAAATTCCTTAAGGGGAACCACGGAATAAATAGCTTGTCCTCAGACGTTGTGGGGGCTCCATGACTACAGGCTTTCAACAGGGGGGGGGGGGGGGGGGGAGGGAGGGAGGGAGGCACACCCCAAAAGGAGAGGACCACTAAAACAACACAGAAAACTTAAAAACAGCCATTCCTCTGTTGTTGTTGTTTTTTTAAAAAAAGAGTCAACCCCAAAGCAGAGGCAGCCGTCGAGAGGGAGGCTAAGAGCAGCTGCGTATGCTCACTGGAAGCCCTTAACCCTCCCGGACTCTATCCTTCTATCTCGGCTCTGCTCCCGGCTGGGGGCTTCGCAGCAGAAGCAATACAGCTGGCTGGACCAAACATGCATTAAATTCACGGCCCGAGTGACCAAGCTGCACCGTTGTCCCCTCCTGTATCTCCTCCCACCCCCACCCCCCAGGAAGAAACAAGAAAGTAGCCAATGTTGCAGCAGCTATAAAGGGTCCTGGGGAACTCCAGGGCGTATCAGATGATGACAGAAGTGCTAACTTAATATTCTTTATAATGAAAATATTCGTAATCGTTTTCTTTCTTCCTGGAGGGTAGTTAACCCCCATCCCTGGATGGGTTTCCCTGCCTTAATCCTGTCCGTTTCTGTTGTTTATTGACTTGATTCAGCATAAGGCTGCATTCCAGCTGCAACTGTTAAGTGGTTCCTGGCTGCCTGTCCAGGGGTATTAACTGAAGGGAGAGGTAGAGAGAGAGAGCCCAAATGGGAGCACGTGTGCACGGGGCAGTGCTGGGAACCGGAAGAGCAGCTCCCTGGCGTGTATGGCGAAGACCAATGAGTGCCAACCCCCTAGTCTTCCTGTTCTGGCACGCACATGCGTGTGAAGACCAGTTGGCTGGCACGCATGAGCGCACCGGAAGCCAAAAGACCAACAGGCGACAGCTGGTGTGCCCGGATAGATGGCTCTGCATGCCAGTTCTGCCATGTGTGCCATAGGTTTGCCATCACAGCCATAAGCAATTAACTAATGGTTCGGGTGAACGGGTGAGAACTGGCTGAATCCCACCTCCTAGTGGATGGACTTCAACTCCCAGAATTCCCAAGCCAGTAAGTATATTTCCACTCAACTTGAGGCGCACTGCCTGGGGAATTCTGGGAGTCGGGAGTCCTCCCCTTTTAAATCATGCTGGCTGGGGAATTCTGGGGGTTAAAGTTCACCCCTCTTAAGTCATTGCTGGCTGAGGGATCCTGGGAGTGGAAGTGTCCCCCTTAAAATGGCTGCTGTGGAGATTTGTAACTTGGGAAAAGTAAAAAATCGAAAGACAGGATCTAATCTCACCGCCCCTTTCTCTTCTTCTTCAGGGGGGGGTTTCCCTTTGCTGGCCTTTCCAGCACTCCATTTCTGTTTGTCTGTTTGTTTTTTTGGGTGCTAATTTACTAACAACTCAGGAACAATAACACCACCGACCCTCTGGGTGGGCCGAACCTTTCTGAACTATTTGCTATTCCTGAAAATGCAAAACAGGTTTCGAACATCTATTCAAATGCTTTGCAGGACAACCGTGCTCCCTATCCCTCGGATTAAGAATTTGATCACACGACTGATAAAATTCACCTTACCGGTAGTCCTCGACTTACGATCATAATGGAGCCCAACGTTTTGTTACTAAGCCTGACAGTTGTTAAATGAGCTTTGCCTCATTTTACCACCTTTCTTGCTAAATGAATCACTGCGGTTATTACTATTCGTTAAGTGAATCTGGCTTCCTGCTTGTCAGAAGGCTGCAAAAGGGGATCACGTGACTCACACACGCACACATGCACACACCCCAGGATGCTGCAACAGTCATAAATATGAGTCGGTGGCCAACTTTCTGAATTTTGATCACGCAACCCTCGGGAGGCCGCAGAGGTTAGCATGAAAAACGGTCCCAAGTCGCTTTTTTCAGTGCTCTCATAAGCTGCTTTGGCATTTTAAAAAAATCCAGTTTGTAATAGAAGGGCTTCCACTCTGCTGGAAATTAACCTGCTGAAAGTCCAGCTTCCTCAGATTTAAACGATGAATTCACTAATCTGTTATTAACGGATTAATTATACTATGCAGGCCCCGCCACCTGTGGTGCGACAGGCGACCTGACTTCTCATTCCTGTTCCTTCCATGGCTGAGCCAAATGGGGCTTCAGATCACACGGCAAAAAAACAAAAATTAAATGGGCCAAACTAGGAAATAATAGGTGCAGTGATCTTGACAAGCATTAAGCTTCCAAGCATCTATGACTTCCTTCCCCACATTCTGTTATTCCTTCCTTCTCCTCTCGAAAGAAAACTCGCACATGCAAACGCAACCCAACACACAGGCGTTTTAAACAAAAAATAATAATAATAATCTTACAAAACCTGAAGCCCCAAAAGACTAACTTTAACTTTAACTTACTTTGAGTTCTTTCCAGCCATCCAGCAGCTTGGTAGCCAAGTCGCTCAGGTCCATCAACTTGTCGGTCGGTTCTTGGCTTCGTTCGCTCTCCACATCGGAGACCCCTTCCTCTTCGTCTTGGGAAGGGGTTTCAGCCGCCACGGGGTCCTCCAGCTTGGGGGTGTGGCTCTCCTTGCCCTCCCCCTCGGGCTCCACCTCCTGGTCAGCGGCGGCGGGAGCCTTGGGGGCCTCCATCAGGTCTTCCGTGGCGCCCTCCTTGGTGGCCTCCTGCTCCAAGGGCGGCTCGTCCCCGGCTTCGGTCGGGAGGTAGTCGGGGGGCTCGAGGTCTTCCTTGCTCTCCTTCAGCTCCACCTCGCTGGCCGTGTCCGAGAGAGCGCTGTCCATGCTGTTCTCGCTGATGATCTTGAGCCTCCGGGAGGCCAGCTTCTTGGGGGTGTCCATCTCGCCCTCCAGGAGGGGCTTGGAGGTCGGGTCGGGCGTGTTGAGGGGTGTGTGAGCCCGGGAGGTGTTCTCGCTGGAATAACCGTCCCCTTCGCTCAGTTGCGGGGGGATGGCGGACTTGGTCCGGGCCCAACGCTGGATGATGGGAAGGATTTTGCTCTCCTCCAGCATGTTCTTGTTCGGGATGGGCAGGAGCTCCAGCGTCCTGATGATCTGTCAACAGAGACAACACCGGGGGGTGGGTGGGTGGGTCAGTTCCCCATTAAATGGGCCTTGGGTTACAGACCTTCTTGGATTGGGACCCCCCCACTCCATCCCCACGTGGTTCTGATACAAGAAAACATTTCTAGCTCGGGGCTGAACAGTGGGGTCCTTGGTGGTCTCTCAGCCTGCTGGCACTGATGAGGTCACGTAGTCTGGTAAGGAAATGTCTGCCAGGAAGCCACCAAGCTCAGAAGGCACCAAGGACCCCACAGTTCTCTTCTTCTTCCTCTTCTCCACAAACCCCCCCTCATTTCCAGCACTGATGACGCTCCCTAGTTGGGGCATATTTGCAAGGAAAGGACCAAGTTCAGAAAGTACCAAGGACCCCGCACTCCTCCCCTTCCTTCCTTCCTTTCCTTCCTTCCTTCCCACTCTGTCCTTCCTTCCTTCCTTCCTTCCTCCCTTCCTTCCTTCCTTCCTTCCTTTCATCCTTCCTTCCTTCCTTCCTTCCTTCCTTCCTTCCCACTCTGTTCTTCCTTCCTTCCTTCTGTGTGGCCCTGATAATATTCCCTGTTGTGAAATGTCTGCGAGGAAACCATCCGGCCCAGAGAGCACTAAGGGTCCCCCACTCCTCCTTCCCTGATAATATTCCCCAGTTGGGTCATGAGACATCTGCCAGGAAAGGACCGAGCTCAGAGAACACCAAGGACCCCACAGTCGTTGTCCTTCCTCCTCCTCTCTGCAAACCCCACCTCTCCTCTAGCACGGATGACGCTCCCCAGTTGGGTCATGGGGCGTTTGAAAGAAAAGCAACGGAGCCCAAAGGGCAACAAGAACCACACATATATCTTGGCCCCCCACGGAAGGACGTTCACCGGAAGACCACAAACCTGGATCAACCAGAGATCTCTACGTCAGCAAAGGGGGCTTAGAACATGCCTGAGAAGGTAACAAGAGCGGCAGTGCATCATAGGTTGAGCGTTCTCCTTTCCGGCTGCCTGGAACTCATCGCTCGCGTATTCCGGCAACTACTTACAAGCTCCAACGCTGGTCTAGAGTAGGGACCACCGACCGTGGCAACTTTCTCAGGCCGGTGGACTTCAATTCCCAGGATTCCCCCTTAAGGGGGCTGTTGGGAGTTGAAGCCCCCCCCCCCACAGCTCCGAACTGAATCTGGGTGAGGCGTCTTGCGCCCCTCCAGCTGCCGCGCACACGATGGGGCGGAGGGGGGGGGAGTAAGGAGAGGAGAGAAAGATAAGACGGGCTGGAAGTAGTTAGTAGAAAAAAAAATGCGGAGCTCTCTCCCCCGGGAACCAAGGTCATCCCAACAGGTGGCCAAAGGGGGAGGGAGGAAAGGGACGGAGGGAGCCCACCAGCCACTTTGATTGGACGAGGTGAACCGGGACCCTGCGGGGGGAGGGGGAGTTTTCGCTCCCTTAATTACATGGGAACAGGGGGAAACTGGCCGGGCAGATGGGCCCAATCAAGAGGTTCGGCCTTGGAGGTCTGATTTCACTGGAGGTGTTACGAGGACACCCCCCTCCCTAAAGGCTGCAGGCCGGGGGATTATGGGGACTGAGGTCCATCCCTGCTAAAGCCTGAACTCTGAAGGATTATGGGGACTGAGGTCCATCCCTCCTGCCGGCTGGGGGATTATGGGGACGGAGGTCCATCCCTCCTA